GGTCCTGCCTGACATCCAGGGATCTCAGAACATCCTGAGCTGGGTGGAGAGGTGAGGGCAGGGTGGGTATGGGGGGCTCTGGTCCTGCCTGACATTCAGGGATCTCAGAACATCCTGAGTTGGGTGGAGAGGTGAGGGCAGGGTGGGTGTGAGGGGCTCTGGTCCAGACTCATATCCAGGGATCTCAAAACAGAGCATCGTGAGCTGGGTGGAGAGGTGAGGGCAGGGTGGGTATAGGGAGCTCTGATCCTGCCTGACATTCAGGGATCTCAGAGCATCCTGAGCTGGGTGGAGAGGTGAGGGCAGGATGGGTATGAGTGGCTCTGGTCCTGCCTGACATCCCAGGGATCTCAGAATGGAGCATCCTGAGCTGGATGGAGAGGTGAGGGCAGGGTGGGTTCAAGGGGCTCTGGTCCTGCCTGACATCCCAGAGATCTCAGAACATCCTGAGGGTGGAGAGGTGAGGGCAGGGTGGGTATGGGGGGCTCTGGTCCTGCCTGACATCCCAGGGATGTCAAAACGGAGCATCCTGAGCTGGGTGGAGAGGTGAGGGCAGCGTGGGTACAGGGGGCTCTGGTCCTGCCTGACATCCCAGGGATCTCAGAGCATCCTGAGCTGGGTGGAGAGGTGAGGGCAGTGTGGGTGTGAGGGGCTCTGGTCCTGCCTGATATCCCAGGGATCTCAGAATGGAGCATCCTGAGCTGGGTGGAGAGGTGAGGGCAGTGTGGGTACGGGGGGCTCTGGTCCTGCCTGACATCCAGGAATCTCAGAGCATCCTGAGCTGGGTGGAGAGGTGAGGGCAGGGTGGGTGTGGGGGGCTCTGGTCCTGCCTGACATCCAGGAATCTCAGAGCATCCTGAGCTGGGTGGAGAGGTGAGGGCAGTGTGGGTGTGAGGGGCTCTGGTCCTGCCTGACATCCCAGGGATCTCAAAATGGAGCATCCTGAGCTGGATGGAGAGGTGAGGGCAGGGTGGGTACGGGGCCTCTGGTCCTGCCTGACATCCCAGGGATCTCAGAACAGAACATCCTGAGCTGGGTGGAGAGGTGAGGGCAGGGTGGGTATAGGAGGCTCTGGTCCTGCCTGACATCCAGGGATCTCAGAGCATCCTGAGCTGGGTGGAGAGGTGAGGGCAGGATGGATACGGGGGGCTCTGGTCCTGCCTGACATCCAGGGATCTCAGAGCATCCTGAGCTGGGTGGAGAGGTGAGGGCAGG